ATTATTCCCACACAACATATATTTGTTAATCTTGTTCTGCTTTTGTTCCGTTTTACAACAGAAATGCAGGCAAACGGCAATCGATGCATTTAGATACTTTTACCAAGATAACTTAACATACAGTTTTATATGTCCATTCGACCCACCATAAAAATGCTGCGTGAAATTTTTTATCACATTATAACCAAAGTTCCTGGCTTTCAGTATTTGCCAAGCATTTGATCAGCAACCTGGTGGCAAGCAAGAGGGGCTTTTTTTTTAAACGTATATATATTTTCTCATCTTGTGAAAATGAAGCGAGTGATAAGAGTCTACAGCCCTAGCAGACTCTCCCCTGCACTAGACTGTGTACTTCAACTCTGGGAAACTATCGCGGTGGTGGGCCTAGAACATCCGGGTACTATCTGGGTAAGGCTTTATATACATACAGGTCCCGTACCCTGCAAAGGAGTAAGCGTATTCTGGCACACGTTTGCACACAGTAAGCGTGTGGCTGAATGGCATTCTACGCAAGGCTCTTCTTTACTGCTCTTCTCTCTATTCCATCCATCTCCTTTCCTCTGCTCACGTCCCAGGTCTCCTGGAGCCAACCATTTCCACTGCGCTAGCCTCAGGCGCTTCCGACGCCCTAACACTGCAACCGGAGACCGGGTCTTCAGCTGCCGGTAGCAGCTGAAAGCTCAAGAAAAATAGATTCCCGCCCTCCCGTCCCGCCCCCTCCCCGGCTGGCCCATGCGGCTCCAGACCCAGCCCCTCCCTCCTCTGCCGACTCATCTCGGTACTCCAACCCAACACCTTCTAAGTCCCAGCTCCGCCTCGCCCTCTCCAGCCCCGCCTCTCCTCCAGCCCCGCCCCTCCCTCTCCAGCCCCGCCTCTCTGCCCCAGCCTGCCACCCCCCCCACGCCCCGCCCACTTCGCCGCTCCCCGCGCCCTTTACCGACGCTGAGGCTTCCAGGCGGGCTCTGCCTGCCTGACCTAACAGTCTCGCAGGTCGCCCCCACCACAACCCGTCCGTTACCCGCCTTTGCTGGAAAACGGGCCGCAAAATGTAGGTATTCTCGGACTCCCCTGCGTTCTTCTCGGTCTCAAGCAACCCATCGGCCGTGCCTATAGACAAGGACGCCGCGGTCGTCGAGGTCATAGCTAGGGCTTCTTGGCCCAGTGTGTCGAGATGAAGGCCTGGCTGGTGGCGGCGCGGGGCTGCGAAACCGTCGCCAGGGCGACAGCACCGCCCTTGGCCCTGACGTAAAGCGGCTGCGTGCTCCCAGCAGAGAGGCCCTCCCTTCTCTGCGGGTCTGGCGGCCCTCCCCAGCGCCTGCGCACCAGCTGCTGGGCGGAAACCGGCTGAGCTAAGGCGACCCTAACTTTGGCGCAGGGCTGTTGGAGCCTGTGGGGATCGCAAAGCCCTTCGAAGTTTGTCAGCGTTTATTAACCGCGCTACAATTTTAGGGAATTGACGCGGAACCTGAGGTTCATAGAGATCCAAGGATATAAGGCTATTGGGCGGCAGGGCTCTAAAAAAAGGGCATTCTCACTGTGGCCTGTGGGCAAGGCCAACCTTCATTTCATTATGCAAGGCTTGTGAACGGGTTTTGTATTTTTAAATGATCGAAAAAAAAATCAAAAAAATGTTTCGTGACGCGTGAAAACTACACGTGAATTTAACATTTCAGTATCTGTAAAGTTCTGTTGTAACGTAGCTATGCTCGCTTGCACATGTGTGGCCGCTTTTGCACTGTATTGAGCGAATTGAGCAGTTGCAACAGAAACCATATGGCCCTTTACAGAAAACGTTTGCAGTGCCCTGCTCTACTCCATAACTGCCAACTCACAGTTCCCCTAGCCTCACCCACACCATACTCTCCGTGCAAAATTCAGAAAGGAGTAGACATTAAGGTGTATTCCCCACTTACGAGCACCAGTTTCTGGTCCTGTTGTAGAAGACTGTAGTATCTTGGCCTCTACCAGCTTCAAAAACTAAGAAAAGAATTTCCCCCAGTATCCATCCAGGCTTCCTATTGGTTGGATTAACAAATTCCAGAACTTCCTTCTATAAGATGCAAAGGGAGTATTTCTATAAAAGTATGCCTTTGCAAGCTCCAGTAGAGACTAATTTTACTATTCCAAGTTTTGGTTTACAATGTGTTTTCTTGATAGTATAGCCTAGATTGGTCTCCCCGAGTCCGGTAAACTCCCCTGAACTTCACCTCCCCAGTCCACCCTTCACAGTGCCCCCAGAATGGCTTTCCTTTGTCACTGCTCTGCTTGAAATCTTTCAGTGGTTCCTTAGGACCATCTCCCCAGCATTTGCTGCAAGTAAGACCTTTCATGATTTGGCAGGGTTGCTGAACCTTCCTCCTGGCACTGACCAGTAGACTGGGGTCTGTGCAAGGGCCACAAGGCAGCTCAGTGCATGCCCTCAACCATGCCCTCTTTAACTGCCCCTTGATTCAGCAGCACTAGCCCCATCTTTGGCTGGGGTCATGCATCCACAGACTAGCCTTGCACAGAAATTAAATGTCTCCTAAGGGGCAGAGAGTGTTTTTCTCCTTACTATTTCACCAGCCTTAAGAAATCATACCCCTAGGAGCACCTGAGTGGCTTAGTAAGTTAAGCATCTGACTTTGGCTTGGGTCATGATCTCACGGTTAGTGGGTTTGAGCCCTGCATCGGGCTCTGTGCTGACACTCAGAGCCTGAAGCCTGCTTCAGATTCTGTCTCCCTCTCTCTGCCCCTCCCCAGCTTGGGCTCTGTCTCAATCTCTCTCTCCCAAAATAATAAATAAACATTAATTTTTAAAGAAATTTTTTAATGTTTTATTTATTTTTGAGACAGAGACAGAGCATGAGCCGGGGAGGGGCAGAGAGAGAGAGGGAGACACAGAATCCAAAGCAGGCTCCAGGTTCTGAGCTGTCAGCACAGAGCCTGACGCGGGGCTCGAACTCACGGACCGTGAGATCATGTCCTGAGCTGGAGTCGGACGCTTAACCGACTGAGCCACCCAGGTGTCCCAACATTTTTTTTTTAAAAAGAAAGAAATCATACTCCTAGTACACCAACTTTTCCTCTTTATGATTTCTTCAGCTATATTTCTCTCACCCTACCTACTCCAGTCCAACTAAAAACACAAAAGATTAGGTGTGTAATTTAATTCAATAAACATTTTATTATTCCATCTGTGCTAGGGGCTGGAGATACAAAAGTGAATAAAACCCAGGCCTTGCCCTAAAGGGTGAACAGGAGAGCAATGGGCTAAACTTGTTACTTGTTACTACCCAAAGTGCCAGTTGCTACAACAGAAAGCTGAAGGCCAGCCAACTTATTCCCAAGATGGGCCCACTTTTCTCTGAGCAGGATCGTAAACAAGGCAACATCCTCTTCTTTCCAGGATGATATTCAAGAAGGCATTCACAAAGCAAGGGACCGACAACTTTTCTTCTTAACAAAATGTTAGCACTGTCCTGATGAACAGATTAACATAGGCCCTCCTGCCTAAAACCTGGTTGGAAGCCAAGCCAAGAGCCAGATGTAGCTTTCATTTGAGGAGAAAAACCCAGGGTGAAAGCCCATTCTGAGGGTGAGGTAGTCCTGGGATGGAGGGACAAGGAAGGGAATGCAGGTGTCCTGTGGAATCCCACAGAGGGCAGCCAACAACCAGGTGTGGAGGGCTATGGAGCCCATGGTAGAATGAATGCAGAACTCCCTCTTCTCCCTTTCCCCTCCCCTCCCCTGTTTTCCTCTCCTTTCCCCTTCCCTCTCCTCCCTGGTGACAGAAGAATTCCTGTATCCTGGAGGCATCTGGTGCTTCAGTGGCTCCTCCCTGACGGGACAGAGCTGGGGCCCAGGGGGCTGTGGAGGGGATACAGCAGCCCCTGGACCCACATACTCCCTTCCTGGCTTTGTCCACTCTGTGGCTCCAGAGCCTGGGGTTCTCAAACTCATTCCCTGGGCCTGTCCACTTACCTCTTCTCTTGCCAGTACCCATCTTCTTCCCAGGATGCTTCTGCCCGCTTCATCTTGTTCCCTGCCCATCAGGCTTTCCCATCCAGATCTCCTTTATCCCACTCCTGACTCTGCTCACCATCTGACACCACCTCCTGACCAAGATCCTGAGGTGGGAGGGAGGGGAGTCCTCTGCTTTCCTCGTTCCGCGTGAGAAACAGCCAGGGGTCCGCCGTTTTCCCCACACGCTCTCTCCTGTGGCCCCCCCCCCCCCCCCCATGCCTTGGCGTGTGCTGTTTCCTCTGCTAGGGAATCCCTTTCTCCTCTCTTTGCCGGGCTATTTCAAGAATCAGCTCAGACACAATGGAAGCCTTCCTTGATCTCTCACAGACCCTCTCCTTGGTGGTTTGCTGTTCCTCTGAGCTCTTTTCGTGTCCTGTTGACCTCTAACATGGCCCTTACCATATGACATTTAAATTGCTGGGAGATGTGTTTGTTCCCTTAACCTGACCATGAGCTCTTCAAGGACAAGGCAGGGTCCAAGGTCAAGGGCCGTGTCTCGGTCATCTTTGGATCCACTGCGTGCACAGCAGAGCCAGCCACACAGTGGACACTCAGTGTATACCACTTATTGAACTGCACTGAACACGAACGAAAAGAACACTGGTGGATTAATCAGCTCAGGCTGCCATAAGAAAACACTACAGATTGAGTGGCTCAAACAACAGACATTTATTTTCTGGAGGCTGGAAGTCCAATATTAAGGTACCAACAAGGTTGGTTTCTATTGAGGCCTCTCTCGTTGGCTTGCAGATGGCCACCTTCTGGCTGTGTCCTCACATGGCCTTTTCTTCTGTGCTTGTGTGGAGAGAGAGATTTGGAATCTCGTCCTCCTCTTATAAAAAGATGCCAGTCCTGGGCACCTCGGTGGCTCAGTCGGTTGAGCATATGACTTCGACTCAGGTCACGATCTCACGGTTCGTCGGTTTGAGCCCCACATCAGGCTCTGTGCTGACCGCTCAGAGCCTGGACCCTGTTTCGGATTCTGTGTCTTCCTCTCTCTGTCCCTCCCCTGCTTGCGCTCTGTCTCTCTCCCTCTTTCAGAAATAAATAAGCATTTAGAAAAAAAAGATGCTAGTTCTACTGGATTAGGGTCCTACCTTTATGGCCTCATTTAACCTTAATTAGCTTCTTAAAGGTTCTATCTACAAATATTGTCACATGGGGGGGGAGGGCTTCAACCTATGAATTTTGGGGACACACAGTTCAGTGCATAACAACTGGTGAACTTGAATTTAGAAGATAAGAGCTTAAGTACTAACTTTACCTGAACCCAGGTGAGAGCTTTTAGGCATCAAGTCCGTTATGTTCTAGGAACTTCAACTGCTATATGTACTGTGACCAATTTTACAGGGTTGTTGAGAGGCTGAAATGAGGCCATGGCTGGAAGACATTTTATGAACCATAAGTTCCTACACAATAATAAATGACTTGCAGTTTACAATGTGATTCAAAATTCACCAATATCATTCAGCCTATGCCCAAGGAATCATGGTTACAGGCACACCTAAAAAGGAAGTTTGTTTACAATCCATACCCACTTCTTACAGAAGGGATTCAAGACAGTTTCTGAGGAAAACTCTCTCGCATGAAAGGGCATTTACCTATCACTTCTCACAGAGGCTGCAGAAAAGTCCCAAGAAGCTGTTGATGAAATGAATGACCACCAGGAGAATCTGGAGGAGGCTGACGCACAGAAGGATGGAGAAGAAGGACACGTGCCAGATGACTGCTTTAGAAGGCTCCAGGCAGACAGAGTTCCAGAGTGAACGGTCATACAAATAATTCCTATCCCCAAAAATAAGGAGACCAGGGTTTGAGGAAAAAGAAATAAAAGCCAAATAAGCAACCTCGATAGAAACCTGGTGCCTCCCCCAGCCAAGATCAAAGGACTAGACTTTGGAGGGTAACTATTGTTGCTGCATCTGCAAAATTCTGAGCATCTTCCCAGAGAAAGGAGATGCTAGAATGTGTGACCAAAAGGAGTTTGTGTGTCTTTCTGTCATCTTTCTCTGCCTCTGTGAAAAGACTCCATCCCTTTACCTGTTATGCAAG